ATGTTTGAGACCTTCAACTCTCCTGCCATGTACGTCGCCATCCAGGCTGTGCTCTCCCTGTACGCCTCTGGTCGTACCACCGGTATCGTTCTTGACTCCGGTGATGGTGTCTCCCACACCGTCCCCATCTATGAAGGTTATGCCCTTCCCCACGCCATCCTCCGTCTGGATCTGGCTGGTCGCGATTTGACCGACTACCTGATGAAGATCCTGACCGAGCGCGGTTACTCTTTCACCACCACCGCTGAGCGTGAAATTGTCCGTGACATCAAGGAGAAGTTGTGCTATGTTGCCCTGGACTTCGAGCAGGAGATGGCCACCGCCGCCGCCTCCACCTCCCTGGAGAAGTCGTACGAACTTCCCGACGGACAGGTCATCACCATCGGAAACGAGCGTTTCCGTTGCCCCGAGTCCCTGTTCCAGCCTTCCTTCTTGGGAATGGAATCTTGCGGTATCCACGAGACCGTCTACAACTCCATCATGAAGTGCGACGTGGACATCCGTAAGGACCTGTACGCCAACATTGTCATGTCTGGTGGTACCACCATGTACCCCGGTATTGCCGATCGTATGCAGAAGGAGATCACCTCCCTGGCCCCATCCACCATCAAGATCAAGATCATCGCTCCCCCAGAGCGCAAATACTCCGTCTGGATCGGTGGTTCCATCCTGGCCTCTCTGTCCACCTTCCAGCAGATGTGGATCTCCAAGGAGGAGTACGACGAGTCCGGCCCTGGCATCGTCCACCGCAAGTGCTTCTAAGCAGTTGCCTAGCTCCACCACTAGCACCACCCGGTGTCACCTGTTACCTGCTCATCTGGTTCTACTTCTTGTGGTTCTGGGCGTGTGGGTAGCAGGTGCTCCGCCACCAAAAACAACACCACCATCAAACCATTTGTTTTTGAATGTCATTATTTACCAACGTGTCATCCTTGGTTCGAGAATACTCTTTTGTACTGACTGAACACAACACCATCAATCAAAATGAATTATCAATCTAATGCCACGGACCGCGATCCCCATCCACTTGTTAATCGCTCGCGGCTTCCCTTAAATGTTGATCGCCATTTGATTGTTTTACGAATGAACCGACACCCTCATGTATTTTGTACAGAACCTAACAACGTCCCCGGTAGAGCGGATGGGGTCTATTGACTACGAAATGTAAAATAATCTCATGATTGTAATATTAATTAAAACAATTTATAATTATTTATAAATAAAAACGATTTTTTAGATTTAATTTTTTCTAAAAACATGAAGATTTTGGAAAAAATTCGGCAAGTGGGTGGTGGGGATAGGGATTGTAGAGACTAAGCAACAGGAAGCTTCATAGGAAAGTTTTCTAACCCCTCCTCCGCCAAGAAGCTGTCCATCGATCAGAAGTGGAGGATATATGTATTTTGGTCTATATACAAAGCTATAGCAAAGCTTTTCCCACCTCCACCTCCAGACCAGGGCGTTTCGGATTTCCCGCATACCACCTCGAAAGCTTTCTAGGAATGCCAAAAATATTCCCAAAATATTCTATGTATATGAGGAGGAGATTTCGAAACGATTTCTGGTATTTTTAGACACATTCCAAACAGCGAGAAGAAGCCAAACGTTTGTTTATGCCACGGTGGAAATACGATCTTCCCCTGAGGAGGAGATGACGCAAGTCGGATGATCAAAGGCGGCAACGCCAACAAATTGCCAATGTCAATTTGTTGCCGCTCTGAACTGATTACCAGAAATGCATTTCATTTTGAGAGGGGGAAAAAGATGAAAAATATTCTAGGACCATGCCAGAGACAAATGTTCTCGCCGAGAGGGCCAAGACAATTAGTCAAGAAGGCGTTGGGCCGTTTAATTAGAACTCGATCTGCATTATGAATGAAATTTGTATTCGCGGTCGTTGGCTGTCCCATGTTGCCTGTTGCAGTTGCAATTTAAGTTGCATTCACGTACAAATGGGTAATTAATGGGCCCGAATCGCTGGCACTTGGCCAAAATGGGGCGACAGATGCCGCTAATGAGTTGCATAGTGAGATGTGCAAAAATGGGCGCAACTTATACGGCCGGAATTCACTTTCTCAAGCGAATCACTTTACACCGCTCTGCACAACAACAAACAGGGAATTTGGTACTGAGACCAGGATCAAAAAACCAGGGAATGGGTTTGTTACCAACCCCCGACTCGAGCTTAACCCACTAATCAATTTGCACAAAAACAAAAATAAACACGCACACAATGTCGTCATCGTCATCGTCGTAGTCGTCGTCGTCGTCGTCGTCGTCATCGTCATAATGCAATTTTCAGTTCTTAATTTCCATACAAATTCGATTTAAAATTCATAATAAAGAGCGCAAATATTCCGGAATCGAGTCAGGCACATAAGTACCTCCGCCTATGTACGAGGATAGCTTCAAGTATGCCGCACAAAACGACCCATATGGTCAATTAGTATAACTGCTCTGGCTGCCAACCAACAATGAGGGCATCAAGCTCCTCAAGGCGCTTCCATGTACTCGAATTTGCACTCGCATTATATGGAGACATCGCACACACCCCAAAGCACACACATTGTTTTCACTTCAATTATTATCGATGAAGCTGCAAAGCCACCAAAAATCCGAATATAATACAATCCAAACTTGTGTTCAGCGAAGCGTAAAGTGTTGGAAGCTCTCAGACTTGAAAAACGTTTCTTCAAAAGCGAATCCTTGATTTACTATATGCACAGAAAGAAATTCAGAGTGACAATGTTATGATTTATGATTAAGGTTGTGTGTTAAATATTTCTGAAATATTAATTTCAAACATTATTAAACTAATTTTTCTCTGGACTGTAACACATTTTCCTATAAGTAAGCACCATTTTCACAAACTATAAGTAAAAATATTATTTAAGCACTTAATACATTTCAGATGACTTACCCAAAATGATCAGTTCATAATTCTTAGTTTTTTCCCAATTAATTCAACTTTCAAAAGCAAACAGGAACGATTTAAAATCCGCATCGAGCAAGGCAATTTAATTTGATTGATTTAAATTTTTCCCATTCCCACTGCCATCGACATGCCCCTTTGCCCCTTTTCACTGGCTGGAAATATAAATCGCGGGATAATGAAAAGCGTCACATTTGATTGCATTTTTTGTGTGAAATTGGGCTGACAATGTTCGCTTTCGCTGACCAAATAAAAGTAAAAAAAAAGAATGAAAATATGAGATCGGAGGAAGGCCGGCTCATGGTTCACTCACACAGACAAAAAGGGGTGATGGTGATGCATTCACGTGGTTAACACACACACACACACACATGTACACTCAAAGGCACATTTATTGGGGGTGATTGCCGTTTACGAACAGGCAAAAGGGTGCAGCCCATAGGAACAGGAACAGAAACAGAAACAGGACCTGGCCGAGGAGGACCAGGAACAGGACCTCGACGAGGCCGTGTAAACGTGTTAGGGCAGAGCAAAAAACACAAAACAAAAATGTGCACTTTACGCAATTTATGTGCAAATTTTTCAATGACTTTAAAGCGATGCAGGAGGGCTGGCTGGACTGATTGACTGGCTGGTTGAGAGACTGAGTGACTGAGTGACAAGGGGGATGGCCAGGCCAGTCATTATAATCGCTCGCTAATTGACTCTAATAGACTTGGTTCCATCTGGGGGTTGGTTAGCCTGACCTCCCCAAACCAATCCTAACCCATTATCCTTTTCGAGGGCAAAACACCTCTCTGAAAACCTTTTCGAAAAGAGTATAATCTCAAGTACTTTGGCCGTTTCTAAATCGTTGGTTTAGCATGATCTTTGGCTCAAGAAACACTTTAGCACTCCGCATGCATTATGTGTGAAAAGTAGCCATTAGAAAATTGCCCACAAATTAGCACAAATAATGCGAGCATTTAGCAATTTAAATAAGCTGCACGGCACCGGCAAAGCGAAAACGATAATGAGAACCCCTGGAATCCCACACACACTCGCGCTGTTTATCCCCTCGACCTTTCACCTTTCACCTTTTCACATGTCCTAAGTCCATACACTTACACTCAGACTCACGTGAGTCCTGGTAATTATGCGCCTGATTTAACTCTACTTTTGGCTGCACAAATGACAAATTCACACTGCTTTATTGTCCGACTGGGCCTTTCTCTCCTAGATATTTCTCTGTTATTTCAAGTGCCGCGCACTTGAATTCTCGGTCATGTCCTTGAAACTGTTCATGCAGAAAGCGGAACAAAAAAAATAAAACCGAAATCCTCTGCAGGACGAAGCCGAAGCTGAAGCTGAAGCTGAAAAAATGGCTACGCTCATTCAAAATATGAGTTCATGAATGTTGACGGCGATCAAACAAAGGACATTCGGGCAAAGCCACGCCTCAACGTACCTCCTCTTTTTTTCGTGCTTTGCCCAATGCCAAGGAAATGGCCGAGGAAATTCGCATTTATTATAATCGCGGGGGAAATGCGAAGAGTGCAAAGAAAATTGCTGCCAATTTCCCGCCATAGAATGTTCGCCCACAGCCAGAATCGAAGATGAAATTAATTTTGCAGAGAGCGAAGGAGAGTGCTGCTGCTCAAACTTTGCAATTTGCGGCGCGTTTCCGTTTCCGGTGGGTTTAGCGTGAATGAGTCTCCTTTTTGGCAGACAGACGGGAAGTCATAGAGGAAGATGCCTCAGCCACTCCGCCGTTGGTAAGGAGAGCTCCAATTGTCATCCATTCCGTTTGATGTGTCCCACTGTCGTCCTCGCTGCGAGCATAACAATTTTATTTCCATTTTGCTCTCAACTCGCCTTTTTTCTACTTTTTGTTGCCCGAAACGATTAGCAGCCACTTAGAGCAGTTAAGAGCCTCATTGAGTTTATTAAATCAGGCGTAATAATTGGCACACACACAATGAACTGAACACCAGGAGAAAAGGGACATCGCCGAGCAAAATAGACACCGAGGAATCAAAGTATCGACCGTCGATATCGATTCCCAGACAGGCACTGCCTGTGTTGTCAGATCTCGTTTCCAGTCCCACAAAAAAAAACACTTTTCGTTTCAATAGGGAAAATAAATTGAAATTTAATCAAATTCAGGCACCTTCAGCATGGCGGACTTCGAGGAATATGGCCTTCCAATGGGAAAAATTACTTACATATCCGAAGAGCTGGGTGAGTCTTGAAGGATCTTAAGGAATTTTAGCATTGATAATATAAAAATATATATTAATTTCTAAAACACCTTCAACCAATATCCTCAGAAAGGACTCATCTGTCACGCACGCCACAAGTCCTGCAGCAGTTGGAGGACATCCGGGATCCGGAGGGCGAAATGCTTCTTGCTGAAGGCAGTCGGCTGAGGAAAAAACCCATTTCGGACGACTACTACTAGAAATCAACAAAATTTTCACATTACAAAACGTAACGAGTGACACCTGCCAAGGAGCGAAAGGAGCGAAGGTGTTGGCCTGGCAATTAATGACTGCCTGAACTTTTCACATTCACATTCACGTGCTCGAGCTGGGCAAACAAAGCCATCGAGAAGAGGAGCTGAGGGCGACAAAAGCAACACGCAAGCCAGGGACTGGGCTCTAAAACACAAGAACAGCCAACACACACAAACAAATTGTGACAAAGTTGCGGAAATTTAATTAAAATCAAATACAGCCAGCAGAGAAAAAGGGGTAGCGGATTGGCAGTCAGGTGTGACCCTCAGATATAGTTTCTAACACGCTCCCAACTTTTGTCTGAATGTCGCTAGTTTTCCGCGTCGTTTAATAAACAAAATGTAAACAAAGTTTAACAGCAATGACACACATGACTCTCCGCCTCACTCTCCACTCCCCTGCTCCTTTTGCCATTGCCTTTTTATTAATATAATTTATGAGCCTGTGGTCGTGAGCGGGAAACTCCGGCAAGGTGGAAATGCAAACATACCCAATTCCAGCAGCTGCTTAATTTCACAGCGCATACATTTGATTAACTTAATTTAATAGTATTTTCCTCTATTTTTTTGTTGGTCGCTATCCCTGCTCTGGGCTCGTTTTGATATATTTGTTTGTTTATTTAATTTATTATTATAGTTACGACTATGCGCTCTGGTTAACAGCTATAAATACGATTATATAGTTATCGATCATTTCTACTAGCTGGTTTTTTGGTTTTTTCTTATATATCAACAAGGATATAAACTTAAAATGGTGAAAGTCAACTGCAGATCAATATGAGGACTACATAAAAGGTATCCCAACAGCATGTCGAGGTAGACCATTGGCTAACGAGAACACAATTGGCTGGCCAAGCCGATCCTTCAGCTGTCTGCTATATATACACCCAATTCTACCTGAACTGGCCAAAGTCCGCTTTAGACAAATGAGGCATGAAACCATTATGGCTAGAATCGGTAAACAAAAACCACGGGGCACTGCTCTTTCTTTAATCACGACCTAAAAGACGAAAAGGAGACGAGCCAGCGTTTGGCAATCGATAAAATTAGGCACAGCTTAGCCACATTTGGAAGTCAGCAGGCATTGATCTTGAGGAAGACATTGCCAGCTAAACATCCTCACCTTTTTGAGAAGTCTCAGCTGGAAAGGATCTTCGGGCGGCTCGCTTTGAAATACTTAGCAGGAGCGGGACCAGTTGACACAAAAGTATCGAGTTTCCCAGTTGTCGCCAGCATACTTAGTATCCTGTCGGAAATGTTTTCTTTTGCAATTGCATGTTGCGGTGTGTTGGCAATTTATAGAAAGTATTTTCAGACGATCAGCGATCAGAGGACACTTGATACTTCTCCAAGGATTTGTCGGTGAACGGTCCTCTCAAGTGGTCACAAATTACAGCAATTATGGAGCGCCCTTGTGTCCCTTTTTGTGGCCTCCGCAAAATGGCGCTCATTAGGCGCCTTCCTTGTGCAATCCTCCCCACCCACAGAATCCAGACAATCTGCGTAATTACTTCGCTGACAACTTTTGATGAATTAAATGCGAAATAAATTTTTAAGTGCGCATAACGAGCATTCCGGCTGCTGGGCCAAATGAAATGAAAATACGGCGGCAAACAGAGCAGGACGCGAAAGGCGATTTTCCACAGCGAGGTGAAATCTTTCTTGAGCGTCTGTTGAGCGGATTTAACTTGTTTAATTACCGCTGTATTCAGTGCATCATCAACTGTCGCTCATTACGGTGGGATTTCATCATCATATATATGTATATATTTATTACGGTCCCAAAATGATGACAGTTTTTTAAGTACACCACCCACCATCATCTCAAAGGACTTCTGTTTTGCGTAACTGTTACCATTTTAATGCGCTCGAGTGTCGAGGACGAAATTGATTTTCGTTACCCATTGTGTTGGGCACTTTGAAGAGCATTTGGCTCTCATAAAAATTTGTGCCTACACAAGGTGAAATTGCACTGAGCCGAGTGCAAATAAAATGCGGGAGGGAAAGCGGAAGAGCCAGCCCCTCTCGACACTCAATTTCGTAGAGCCACAAATGCGAAACTCGAAGGACCACTTGATAAATTTCATATATTTATAGCCCGCAGAGTGATGCGCTGCATTTGCACACTGAATGAAATTCCATGAGCACACATACAAATACACTCGCACACTCGCAAGGACATTTTGGGTGGCCCGAAATGTGGATGGGCGGCTTACCCCGCCCAGTTCTTTCCCGCCCACCACTGCTGCTTGGCCAAACACTTGCACAAATAAAAGATCTACTTGAACTTATTGAATTTTCGTTGATAGAAACAAGATGAAAAGCAGAGCTGAGCATAGAGACTACTGAATGCTCTTTTTTGATATAAGAGAGAGAGTTTTGAGGACTCATTTCTTATTAGTTTAATATTTACTATGGGTTATATTCTGCAATATAAGTACAGGGTTACTCAATTATAAAGAAAAGAGAGTCATGTTTTGGATCAATAAATAAATGAATTTTTATCCAAAAATGTCTTATAGAGTCTCATCTTTAGTAATGGAATCCCTTCCAGAAATTGCTAATTATTTCTTTTTACCTCTCAATTAAATATGAAAATTTTGATTAGTTCATTTAGAATAGTCAAAACTTTGTAATAATATCATAGAGTAACCTAACATCACCGCATAACTCCCCCACCACAATAGGGTATGACATCCCCATCAGGTCCTTCCATATTCCGGACGTCTTCAGCTACCTTGTACACAAAGGACGGCCACAAAAGGCAATTGCATATGAGTTTTATGAGAGCTTCTTTTGACATCGCCATGCTGACTGCTCCTGGATGCTCCTCCCTTTCAGGCATATCCTTTTGACTGTGACAAATCCGTTAAGTCGCGCATTTCGCTCATTATTATTGCTCGCCTTTATTTGTGCGGGGAATTTGGCTCTGACCTCGCCCATCCCCAAATAACTACGGCGAGTGGTAAGTGTAATCAAATTCCAACCCGAATACGAATCAGATCCGAATGTGAATCCGAATCCGAATTAAAATCTAGACAGAACTGAATGAGCAGGAACTTGACGGCGTTTTATTATTAAATTTGAGGCCATAGCTAGTACAATGCGATATCCTGCTGGGAGAACGAGCGCTGTGCGAAATTATTAAAAAGTAATTATGGCACAAATTACGAGATATCAATATAGCATTTAGCTCTGCATGCGGCCTGGCACAAAGGACTCGCCCTGTTCCTGAGTCCTAGTCCCTGTACAGCCACCACCACTTGAGTTCGGTGCAAATCCTTTGGCTCACACATCCATCCCATGGATGCATTGCATTTCCTCCACGGCTGTCTGGCACAATGCGATAGATTCCTTCTGGATTCCCATTGTTCGGCTACTTCTTGGGCTCCTTCGCCTGCTCTTCACATGTTATGCAACATTTCCTCTTCGGTCGGCAAATTTGACATAATATCGAGATTATTATACGATTTGAACTCTCCGCCTTTGGCCTCTTCAATTGTCGGGGTAGGTCGGCCGACGACTATACCTATCCCCGGATTCTCGGTCCAAGATCGCTTTCATTTGACTCTGGCAAAAGGAAAGGTCGATTCGAGTTTGTACACAATCAATTGTTGCATTTGAGCGATTTATAATGAGACTTTGTAGGGTCATAAGCCCTACTTAAGGTACAAACTTTTTGCGATTATTTTGTAGTTACGAGGGGATGGAGGAGCATGATGTGAAAAATTAAAAAATTGCTTAGGCCAACGGAAGTTGACCGGGAGATTAACTCTGACATTGAAATACCAAATATGGGGGAAATCATTTTAAGGATGGAAACAGAATATAAGGAGATATTTTTTGATAGCTAAACATAAATAGTTCCAGTTTCGCGTTTAAGGAAATTAAGCTATGAAAACAATATTTTGAGTAAATGTATTTCCTTTATGAATGTATAATCATATCCTTTAACCTTTAACCTTTAAAGTGAAAGATCAAAATAATATATAGAAACATCAATTGGAAAGCCCATATTTTATAGATTTTAAATGTTGAGTTTAAAACGCTTTAAGATGTGTACAAACCAATTGTTTAAGATATTCAAAAAGAGCCCAGTGGTTTCCTTAAAACCTTTGATTTCTCATTGCTGCAGAGAGAGTTAGGTTTCTTTCCCTGAATGTTATATCAAAACCACTTTCTTATTCACATATTTGTTGGATATAAGTTAATAAAACTCTCAATAACCATTATTATCCACCGCAATTTTAACATCAATTAAATACAACAAATTCTTTTCATATCGTTTATTTCTTGACAGTTTTCCTTAGTGGAGATAGACTAACTTTATGTCCGCATGTGGCTAATTTTGCTCAAAGATCGCTTATTTAAGTTTTACGACTACGTTAACTTTGGCGATAGACAAAGCTCCATATATCTTACAATGCGTGGGCTATATAACCATAAGTACAACTAGATATCTACAAGTATATATATAATTATGTATGTACATAACGAATCCAAATATCACGGAGCATTCATTCAGTCCTCGCCCTTAGTGACCACGGAAACGGGAGTGGAGGCATTGCTGCTGGCGCCGGCAGCGCTGCTGGGCGATTGGGCGGCCGTCGAGATCAGTCCGCCCGAGATCAGAGTGGTGCCACCTCCGTTGCTCCCGGCTGGCGGCGTGACATGAGGCGTTGTGGGATGAGGCACTAGCTTGGGACTCTCTCGAGGACTGCTGTTGCTGCAGGGCGGGCTCACCTGGCTCATGGCGGAAAGACCGGCATGCAGCGACAGATTCTGCGGATACCCAGCCGAGGCCGCCGCCGCTGCAGCCGCTGCTCCCGCTCCAAAGATACCATTGAGATTACTCAGGCCCATGTACTGGGAGAGCAGGGTGTGGAAGTTGGGCAGCTTGTAGTGGGGCGCCATCAGATGTTGGGGCAGCAGGCCGGCGGCAGCGGCTGCAGCAGGATTGAAATGCTGATGGAGGGCGAAGTGCGGGGGCCAGAACTCCGACTGCATAGCGCCCGGATGACCCGGAAGTCCATGCGGCGGCAGGGGAATGCCCAGCGGAAACTCCGGCAGACCTGAAAACGAGCAAAAGGGCGATTTCGTTAGTTACAAATTCCCAGAATGGGGTGGTGAAACAAGCGACATAATTCCTAATTATGTTGCACACGTAATTTGGCAATTTGCGGACAAATCAAATGCGTATCGCTGGGTGGGAAGGACTCGTGAGATGGGGGTGGTTAACTCACCTTGTTCGGGCAGGAGGTAACCGGCCTTGTCCTGATTCATAAACTTCTCACGTTTGCGCCATTTAGCCCGTCGGTTCTGGAACCACACCTGCAAGTGAACCAAAAGAAGGGAAGTTTAGAGATGGAGTTGTAAGTATGCAAATGTAAATACCCTAGAGTTTAGGGTATACTATGCTAGGTCTGAGATATCCAGATCTGTCTCTCAATGTGCGCAGTTTTAGAACTTAAAGGGTAACATTCAATCTGAACTTAAACTATGGAATTGCCAAGGAACTCGCAATAGCTTTGACTTTGACCAAAAACCGAACAATTTTATCAATCTGTGAGTTCGAAAAGTTGAAACCACTTGGTCCTTGACTGGCTCCTTCTGGGCTCTCAAACCTCGAGTGTCTGAGGCAAAGGACATGGGCGCTGGTAGAAGGGGAGGTCAAATACAATGGCATCCAATCGGAAGTGTTCTGCTCTGATTTGCAACGCTCTATATGTCTGTCTCACTCTTCAGACAAAAAGGGTGTCTTATGCATTTTTCGACACTTGCTTGGGGTTTGGGTATGGCCAACCTCCCAACTTCCCAATTTGCCCCTTAACCCATCCACAAAATAGGCGTTGGCTGCACACACGTTTCCGTTCTGGGGGGAATGAATTTTCCATCTGAACCGAGGCTCTCGTTTCTGATGGGAAAATTAATTGTTTGTAAATTGAAATCACTTGACAACTGACTGTACTCGTTGATGAGTTCGAGACAATGGAGGAGTCTCTGCAATTATAGACACCCTGTATTTAGACAAAGCCCCTGCCTCGCAGCCACCCAGAATCTGCAACAATGTGTGCAGTTGAGCGAGTAGTAAATTAGCAACGATTTCCTTGCTATAATTGCTGCCAATTATTGTCCTGTGTCCTGTGTGTCTGCTGGGAAAACGCCACCCACCCAACGACATCCCCCTTACTCCTTCTCTGTTTAGGCTATGAGTGTATGCGATTTTGTGGGCTTTTTAATTGTCAGTTGGCAGCAATTATAATGCGAGCAACTTAAACCACTGTGCCAGAGCAGCCAGGCAGTAAAAGTTGAATTGCGGATATCCGTTCGGCATTTATCACACATGTGCGATCAAAACGAGAGAAGAAACTGTAGCAAATAATACAAAAGTTGGCATATAAACTTAAAAATTTACATCAGAAGGAATGATGAAACTTTAAAATGTGAATAGAATGCTAGAAATTAACTTTTAGAAGTAAAGAAACCACTTTTAGACAGTATAAACCAGCCTTTCCAGTATTAAGCTTGTGATACCCCAACTGGGCAATGAAAATTTGACTTAACCCGGTTTAAATCGCTGGTTACTCCTTTTTTTCGATTGCCCCACAACAAGCATGCAAATCCCAAAATAATTGCCCACTCACCAACCCCAAAACAAGCGAGGATTACGCTGCAGATACTTTGTATCTATCAGCTCAGGGCTGGAATATAGAAAAAAAGCGAGCTATGGAAATCGTGCAGCTCTAAATCGGTTACTATTGAAGTACCCAAAACACTCTGCATATGCGAATCAATGACCAATTACAGCTAATCTGCTAACAGATACGAGGAAGAGCGAGGACACGGATGCGGATGAAGACCGTGAAACGGACAATTTGTATTCAGTACACGTTAATCCCTATGTGAGTGCTTAGGTCAAGTTGTTTTACATTCTCTCCACTTTTTTATATGCGACTGCCAGGCGATACTTTTCCCTTTTCCCTGTCAACAAACAGCATCGAAATTGAGCGAATCGCTCAATCAAATGTGAAGTGTTTGAAAGCATTCTCGACTGAAATCAAATTGTATACGATTCGGGGCGAGAAGGCACCCTAATTACATGTATAGTCAGTCGGATGTATTTAGCCGCGTGGCCTGCAGCAGCGGCAGCAGGGAGACAGCCACCCAAAGCCACTTTAATTGTTTACCCAAAAGTAGAGTTAATAAAAATACCAACACCATGTGAGCGCGGCCAATTTAATCATTTGGAAAATCACAATATCTAATGTCCTTGGGCCAACCCCTAAAAAGGGACGACCAACAACCCTCCTCCGACTAGATCTACTAAGCGTGTTTGTATACAAAGTGGGGTTTAAGTGTTTCAAATACCATTTACAAATTGGGTTCGCCGATTGTTTCATCAGGTCTTATCTAGCTAATCAAGTTCCCAGAATCTGGGAGTGGTTTATTCGCTGATTACTGGAGTTTCAGATTTGCAAGTTGTTTCAAAAACGAAAGGGTTAAAGCTTGTCATCCTTAGATATAGATACCGATTCATTTTGAATCTGAACTTAAACTTAATTCGAAAATAATTGCGAGATTCGAAAACCAATTTGAATTACCTGCACGCGTGCTTCGCTCAAATCCAAGCGCATGGCCAGATCCTCCCTTGTGAAAACATCGGGATACTGGGTCTTCTCGAAGGCCCGCTCCAGCTGATGCAATTGAAATGTTGTAAATGTTGTGCGAGATCTGTGAAAAATCAAAGCAGCCAAAGGCGGCACGTTAGATGGTTGTTATAAGGATTTCCCCCCCTCTTTGTTGGCATGTTTTTTAATAGCCCGACAATGGGTAAATACGATTTGATCTGCTAAGCGGATTGCCAACGCTGCACTTACCTTCGAACTTTTCGCGGCCTCTCCATATCGCTGAGATCATGGCCATTGTTCAGACTGGAGGACAGCTCGTCATCGTTATCCACGTCCAGACCTCCGTCCGTATTCGTTGGGGAGTCCTCTCGCTTGGCCTGAACCTGCAATTGCTGTTGATGTTGCTGCTGCTGTTGGAGTTGCTGTTGCTGCTGCTGGTGGTGTTGCTGCTGCTGCTGCTGTAGCGACAAATGATTGCTGCCGTTGCTGTTGCTGCTGTGCAAGTGATGGATGTGATGGGGAATGGCCGTGGTGGGGATGCGTAATCAGCACTTCGCTGGGCGTATCTAAAATGGCAGGGGGAAAAGCTAAAGTTAAACAATTTCAAATTGAACTCGAGAGCGGCGAAACAAAAAGTTTCGCGTTTGACTTTGAAAATCGAAAGCCAAAGCGGCAGCTGCAGAAATTGAAATTCATTCAATTGTAACTGAAGTAGTTATATCCTGGATTTTAACCCCCTTTTTTCGCATTCTCGAACAAAATCAGAATCCTTCAAGGGCTCAAAAGCTACGCAAATTGATTTGGCAATCAATAACAAATAAATATAAAGTCAGAAAAAGTTATCCCCCTTCCCCAGTCGAGGGATATAAATATCCTTTCACACGGCCCGAAGGCAAAAAAAAGAGATTTTTTCCTTTTGAATAGCCAAAACGGTTCCTTTACGAGGCCATCGAAAAACGTGTAATCAAACTTTAATGAACCTCAAATTAATCAGATTCACAATGGCACCAGGACACGTCCCCGCTCAGCAGGACACTCGTCCTGGATGTGTATCCTTATCGTATTTCGAAACATTTACGCAGCCTGTTGTGGCGAGAAGGTAATTTCCAGCGAGCATCAAATTACGAGGCTCACAGGATGCAGTGTCCTGCGGTGCGCACGCCGCTCGTTGTCGCCAAATTGCAACCTGGACCAATGGGTGCCGTGATTCCACAAGCCTGCCAGGCAATTTCGGGTCTGCTCCTCCCCATACTGGCACTCCCAAGAACTTCAATCTAATTACGGGTCTAATGACGCAATTGCTTTTCTCCCTCTTCTACTCTCTTGATGTTATATATCCGGCCAGATATGTTTTGATACACAGTATTTTTTATTCTTTGGCCGATCCTTGGGCGAACTGCCTCCTGCAGCTTGGCCACGCCCCCAACAAGAGTTCCGACATGCCGAACACCTCCCATTGTCATGATATGTTTTCTTTTTCTGCTCGGGGTGGAGTTCGAGGTCGGTGTTTGCCGTAAAGTTTTCGCCCTGCCCCTGACTAACTATGATAAAATGTCCCTTACGAGCAATTTGCATATGATATGGATGGGCATGTGATATGGGTGGCGATGTCAGTCTATCTTGTCTCTGCCTGTTCGACAGGATCTTTTTGATGTGGTCAACGTTGGGGGACGAGTTAGATTTTGGAGTACCAACTTGGGGGAGCTCATTGACTTTGCATGAAGGCTAACTTAATATTTGGCCCAACTGGTGGTAAGTTATGCCCTTGTCAGGGTGTTTCTTGTCTATTTATGTGGTGTATGTAAGTAACTCGAATGTTTAATTAACATTTTGCAATTCAATTTATCAATATATAAGTATTTTTTAAAGAACTTACATAAATTTTTTAAAGATGTTGTCTTTTCTTAGAGTACAAGAAACCCATACTTGCAAGACAACTAACAAAGTTAAGTTTCTTCTTATAACAAATACTATAAAGGCCATCAAAAACCTAAGCCTATCAAAACTGAAAGGATCCTTACAAACTATATAAGATAAATGTTCTTTAACACTTTATAAGTATGTTGTTCCTTGACTAAACATAATAATAACATATCTATAATTTTAAAAATGAAAACAGTTTTTTGCTCAAAGACTTAATAAAGGCTAAAGATGTTAAACTATATCTGGAATACCTTAGTAGTCGATTGAAAAGTTGAACACTTTTTCTGATCGCCGACGGCAAGTTCGACATTCCAAAAACCGTAGCCCTTAACTTTCCCCATTTCAATATCCATTTTTTAATTAAGTTGTTTAAATGATTTAAAACTTACCACTGCGCTTGATCTGGTGCTGATTTCCCAGGATCTGATCGATGCTGTAGACGGCGCGGGGGCGTGAAACAGGACTCTCCTGTACGGGAGCGGGGCGCATGGCTGGCGGCATGATTGGGTGGTGCTGATGGTGCTGCGAGGTCGTTGTGGTCATCATAGCTCCACCGGGAGAGCTGCTCACAAAACGAACTGATTTTCAATTGAAATTCTTTGGATCACTTTTTTTGATTTTGTTTTTTGTTTGCAATTTTCCAAATTTTTAATTTGGAAACTTTTTTTGTTATTATTGTCACAAAATTTGATGGGCACGATTTAGAAATTGCTTAATTAATTGCGGTTATTATCGATGTGATTTGGATTTGAATTCGGATTTCACAGCCACTGCGACGAACTACCAGGAGCTGAATCGAATTGATTTAAGTGCGAGTAGTGCTCGTGACGATCAACAACCACCGACTGAGTGCGATTCCTGCGGAACGTTGGTTTAAATACCACGGCTGTTGGCTGTTTTCCGTTTGCAAGTGAAATGGGCGAGGCTCGCTCTCGAATCCGAATCCGATTCCCAATCCTTCGCTTTCGCCCATGTCCTGCCATGTCAGCCGTCCCTTTCGCTCTCGCTCTTTGTCTCTCTAAGGGGTAGTTTCCCCCAGTGTCTGAGTATGCCAGTATCTCAGTAGCCGTGTCTGTGTGCTGGGTTGGTTCCCTCGGTGTATGTGAGTTTGAGTTTGCAGGTAGCTTTTGGCTTTGGCTTAGGGGTGTCTCTCTCTCCCCCTTTCTCTCTCTCTCTCTCTCACTCTCTGATCAAATTCTCTCTCCTACTTTCCCTTGACACCTTTCTCTTTCATACCCCCGCACTGCCATCTCTTTCGGTAGTTGTAACTAACATGGTTTGCTCATTAATTTTATTTATTTCACAAATTTTGCTTGTTAAAAAGTATCTCACCTTCCCTATCTCTATAGCCATCTCTCTCGGCACAGCTCTACCCCTCCGCTTGCCCAGCTCGTCCACAAATCACAGAACAGGTTGAACAACTTACCGGATTGCCTACCTGGTACCTGAATCATGTCGGCCATTTGCCAGGTTCTCGTTTATTAGTTCCGCTTCCATTTCGGCGATAGATTTATGGCGAGGATCTCGCCGTGATCTCACGATCTCCAGAATGAGCCTGTGGTTTCATTGAACAAGCCAAACGATCAATGAATCCCTTTACTTAGCAAGGAGTTGTCGCAGGATCGGCCCCTAAGTTCATTGATTAAACTGATCTTACTTTACAGGATTTTCCCTGCTCTGAATTGGGCTGGAGAGGATAGAGGACAGGTACAGTTCGGATTTAATTCAGCAAAAGATTGATTAAATAATTCAAAAATATTGTAGAAAACCAGTGAATTTCTACAACATATTTTTCTTTCCTAAAAACCCTTAAATAATTCATTTAATCTTCGAATTTTTGCATACAAACTGTTTTTCTTAAAAAAATAAACTACAAAACTTAAGTTTTGCCACGATTAAATAACCAAAACTAGCCCAGCCTTGGTTAAATCGCCCTCTTGAGTCTGGGGATTTGTGTTGAGCATCAGCTTAGACTGGGCTCTCTATCCAAGCTTTGGCCTAGAAGCCTGGTCCACCCAAAGGTTGCATAACACAAAAGGCCACCAAAAATGGCTAATAGTGGTTCCAGAAAAAAACCATCTAATGCCTCTAGAATACCTAGGCAGTGACCTAAAACGCCGCGTACAATGATAACAAAGCGAGGACCGGGATTTATCTTCTCTAATTTGTTGAAACTTACACAATTCCTTTGTGGCACGAACCCAAACAAAGCCAAAGATCGCGGCACCTACAGCCAGGGAAAACGGGAAAATGAACACGTAATTTCCGCGAAACTGTGAACAAGTAAGCGGGACAAAGCATTGACCGGACTCATTAATGTGCCAGATGTATGACGCCACAGGACACTGGATTCAGGACACAGGCATAGAGACCTATATCTGGGATTAGGGTTAGTCTGCCCAGGCGCTTAATCATATTTTCATAGGACTCATTCCCTATGCAGATTTCATTCAGAAATCCGATTGCATGTTCGTTTAATTTAGAGCTGCAAAGGGGCATCTCGGGACTTAGGATTGGCTACCTGCCCAGATCTTCAGCCCTGTAATCTCTGATCTAATGTGGAATGTGGAATGCATAATGCGGACCAAGAAATTTATGCAGCATCATCGGCGCACTTAGCCATAATCGCAGCTCATTAGGCCTACTAACCAGCCAAAAAAAGAGGCTGTTTGCTCACTAATTGCCGATCCTCAAACCAGCCCAGGACATGCCCTTTTTTATCCAAGGGCAAGATGATTGCCCCACTTAACGACAGGCGAGATATCAAGATAGCAGAGAGAAACAGGGTATTAGTGCTTAAATACCTGTTCTTTATATTTCCAATCTGAAAACAAATCGTTTAATTAACATTAATGAAATAGTAACTAAACATAGTTATATAGTATTAATGTTAGTATGAAATTACATTTCCCACACTAAAAAGTTAAGAATCAATATTGTACATCCTTAGAACCTCTGTCCCCCTCCAGCTCCCATTTTCCATTTCTCTTCAACACTTTCAACTAATTTAGCTGTAGGAGCTATTCTTACAACCCCTCCGCTTGTAACCAAAAGCCATTTAGGCCAAGTGTGAAATGACAAATTGAATCAAAGCCAAACTCAAACTCAAACTCATTGAAGACTGCACTTCATTGTAATTTCTAAATTAGCACATCAATTGAGGCCAGAATAGAATGGGTTGTTGGGTGGCAAAGTGGGCAGATGATAGCCTAATAGCTAAAGGTTCTCCTCGTGACTCTCTCGCAGAGCTCTCTCTATCCGAGAGTTTCTCTCGTGACATGCGCATCGCAGCTGAAAGCTCATTGGATGTTCCAGCATTTCACCCACACTCAGGGAAATAAATCCAACGAGGTCATTATCGTGTTACCCCCTACCATAGTAAAAGCCCAACAGAATAGCCAACCACCCACACCCACCCACAACCATTCCGACCCCTTTGCAGCAGCTGCGTGTAAACACATTGTGGCAATTCTCTCTGGTGCCATGACTGTGTTCACCTTTTAATAAGGTTAACTGCGACGACGACAACAACCCACAAACACCCACTTTCCACAATAGAGAGCCGGGGCTTCGGAAAAGTCAGGAAAAACTGAGGATAGAGGGGGATAGATGCTGTTGGCAACATTTTTCTTAACCATTAAATCTAATATATCAAAGTAATAAAATGAATTTCGCCCGTTGTGTGGGTACAAAGTAGCAAAGTATGGGGGTAAGTATCTCTCTCTCTGTGTGTGTGCGTTCATTCTTACCCTCCACATAATCCAACTAAAAAGTTTTCGTCTACTTACAGTCTGCCTGCCATTGTCTACCGGATATTCTTCCCATTCCTTGGGGCCACGGCGAAAATGAAAGATGTCCTGGGGGTCTGGTTAGCTGGGGTTGGGTCACAGCTGAACTGATAGCTTTTCTTATGCCTGGGATATTTAATTTTGAGTTTTAACTTTCAACCTAACGGGGTTTGAGTTCATACCTGCCACTGACAACATTTTCAGCAGTTCTGAGGGGGCGGAAAAAACGATTGACTCTTGCAATTAGCAGTGGCAGGAGTTAGAGGTTGATTTGGAGGGGTAAGTAGTTTCTATAACCCAAAGAAATTTAAGGATCTTAATCAGTTTTATATTAAATGCAGTGAGTTAATATTATATGAATAAACATAGATTTCAGCTTGATTTTCGGAATACTCGTATATAATTTACACTTAGATATATAATTTCATGATATATAATTTTTTTTTTACAAATGAAATATTATTTCTGTAGTTAGTTTATCCCTAGTTTAGTATGATGATGATTAACCAATTTTATATATCTCCATCAGAAGAAGCAGTGCAAAAAGGCAAAGTGATTCGTTTTCCGAACTCCTCCGGCTGCAGATAGTTTGCAATAGTTGGAGTCCGCAATTGCTGCCTGGCAAAATGTAATATGCGGCGGCAAATGAGCAACTGCTGAGGTTGGCTAGCAACCGCAATTCAGGCAACACCCCACACACACACACACAGAGACAGTATACTTCTGGGCGCAGAACAGACACAGCCACATCCACATCCACGTAGTGGCTTGAATTATCCAATATCCTTGACTGTTTGTGGACGTAATCAAACAACTGCGAAAGGAGACGGGCCAAGGCTTGTTTGACATTTGGTTTCATAATCTAATATAGCAGGAGGGGAGAATTTCTTGAATTTGGGGCAGTGGAAGGAGATGAGGGACTCAAACCGCATATAAATATCCCCAGTTAAGTTCAGTATCCCAACATTTTTGTGCACGACATTATTGGCCACGTTTATTAAGGCCCGAGGCCACAGCAAGGATTCGAGGGCAGTACTTTCAGAGAAACCGGAAGACTTCCTATCTTTTCCTGGCACACTTTTTCCTGATCCCCCGTCCGATAACCCTTAAGTATTCCAAGTAAGGTATTCTATTTGGTCTACATATGCCATATTAGTGGTAAATTGACACTCTCTTCGGGACAAATTAAAGCACATATATGAAAAGGGACACACATATGGCCCGGGATTCTGGCAAATTTCTGGCCAAGATAAGCGGCTAAGGAGCTGCGCTGCTCACTTCAAACGGCTAGGGGCCGACAAAAGTGCTTCCCAATAATTATGCGGCTCGGCTTGTGTTCTATTCTAAGGTGCAGATTTGGCCACCTTCTTTTCAGCTGGATAAGATGGGCAATCACATGTGGCCGGGCCAAAGGGAATTCATTGGAAATTACCTGTCGCATTGTTGGGCACTTGAATTACATAAAAATTGGTCGAGCGAACAATGGCCGAGTGGCTACCGTTTTGGCCAGGACACACAGGACACACAAAAGGATAATGCTCACATATCCACATGAATGTGCGAGGGTGTTTGCCACTATGCAAAACTGTAGCCAAACAAACAAATAGACTGACAAAAGTCTGACAACTGACAACTGCCAAGTGGCTCTGGATGGGAATCTGGATCTGGATGTGGGATCTGAATCTCAATCCGAATCCGAATCCGTATCTCGGACGACAACAATAAGGCGCTTGATATGTGTACGTATGGGCGTGGCCCGGGGGCGGCGTTCGGGCAAACAACAATTGTAATCACACACCTTTTGTGCCAACGTGTGCCCAAGAAAAACCCTCGAAAACATTTCCTCCGCTCGAGTGTGAAAAAGAAAGAAGTTTTTAGCAGTTTTATGGCTAGATTGGCAAATGAGGAACAATTGAGCCCCGAATGGGCGGAAATGAAAGGCTGATGAAGGCTCATCAGAGCATCTGCATATTGCAACCGCTCCATTACCCCGCTGCCACCACTCAGAGAAACAACTATCTGAACTAAATATGTAAAAAAAA